GCAAACAAAAAAAAAAATTAAATAATGGTTAGGGTGCTAAATTAGATTTGTCCCAGTGTCTCACACAGGGAAAACTTATAACGTTTTTACCAATCCATTTTTCATTCAAAGAGATTGTTAGCATATTATTATACCTTTGACTCTGCTGTAAGTATAAAAAATCCGACATTGAACTATCATCCATAATATTCCCTCAAAAATTGTATAATCAGTAACTATTTTAACTACACATAAAAGTATGATACTAGTACCTACACTTATAACTTATGAGTTACAGTGGTATATAATCAGTGTTATTTAAAAAAACATATTTTATACACCAACGCAATTGTTTATTGTATTGTAAATGATATTATCGTCTTCACGAGATACCTAATTTTATTATTCATTAATAATACTAACCCAACTACAACCAATGAGTGTATTTTGCCAGATTTAAGCCCTAAATACGCCGTTATAAAAATCATTGGTGTCGGAGAAGGAGGAGGAGAATACAACTACATCCTACATGTCTTATTTTCCTACACGGCTACACCGGCTAGAGCTTAGACCCTCGTACTTTATATATAAGTTCTATATTATAATATATAATAATATTATGATGCACAGAAAACGTTGTATGGCTCCGTCGGTGTATTCGAGTTTTGCAGACGATAAGTTATAGAGGGGAAATGCTGCCCTGCCCACCTGAGTCGTCGGAAGTCGACAATAATAATGGAAAAAAATATTATATTCGATTCGACACGTCGTGGTTGTGTTATACTGCATAATATATCGGTATATCTATTCTTGAAAAGTATATTTGATTCGGTAGGTATAACACTACGGCAGGGTTTTCAAACACGACGTTCCAATTTTATTATTATTATATTTTTGTCAAAGGCAAATTAGGTGTGGATAAAGGTCCGCAACCGATAGTGCTTTATCGTTTTTACTATACCTAAGCCATTTTTAGGCACTTAAAAAAATATGCAGCATATTATACCTTCGAATCTGTTGTATATAGGTATAGAATATCGAAATACTGTTCATATAATATTCCCTCGAAAACTCTATGATCGTTGACCATTTTGAGTAGGTACGCCTAATATATGATACCTATCCTTATGAGTTACGACAGTATACAAAGGTAATTAATGTTATTTAAAAATAAATGTTTTGTACACCAAACCAATTGTTTTGTATTGTAAATTATCATTATGCAAACCATCTTCACGAGATACATAATTATTCGTTAAAAATAATACAATCATTAATGATATATACCTTACAGTTAATGCAAAACGCATTCGCGAGTGTATTTTGCCAGAGTTAAACTCTGAAATCTGAATGGCGGAAACGGCTTATACCTGAGTGTATAGGATGTACATAAACTTATTTGCCTTCACCGACTAAACCTTATACCCTCATACTTTATATAATATTATGTTCGGTATATCTAATATAATATATTAAATATTATGATATACAGAAAACGTTGCCTGGCTCTATATATTATTCAGTATATTCGTGTTTTGAAAATAGGTAAGTTATAGAGGGGAAATACCGCCCCTCCCACCTGCGTCGTCGGAATAGTCGACGACAATAATTGAATAAAATCCTACTACTTCATATTATAATATAGTATCTATTTAGTATTTACTTTTGAAAAGTCTATTCGATACGGTATGTACGCTCGACTTTCAAACACGATTATTATTATTATTATTTTTATTTTGTCGAAGGCAAACGTAGTTATCCACAATCGATATATTATAGGAAGTTACCGAGAAGATCGACTATTGTTTATTATGCGAACAATATTATTGTCGTCGGGTGATTTACTGTTGCGAGCGTATAATATTATGTACCATCATACATATTGTCCTTATTCTTATTATTACTCATAGTAGGTACTAAGTACAGATATGTATAGGAATTCGTGTAGACTGTAGACGGAATGCGAATAAATATGTTTGAATTTAATTCCATGTTATATTTTATGTACATATTTCACGGAGAATATAATGAGATGGATATTGGTTTTACGTTTGGATGGATGTTTTTATTTTCTTCGGAAAAACAACCGCTTTTCACTCAGCGTTACAAAATACGTTCAAACATATTAATATTATAATTCCTCTAGAGATTATCGCGTAGCCACAGCAGCTGCGACTGGTACTTCGAAAAGGCCATTTAAATAGAGTATATTTATTTATTTTGATTACACTATGGTTGGTAGAAATATTATACATTGTACATTAAATCGTTAAAATATTCGCTCAAACATTTTCGCAATTTAAAACTGGAAATAGTTGGTAGAATATTAGAATATATCAATTGAAATGTACGATATTATTTAAAAAAATTATTTTATGAAGTTTTAATTTAAAAGAACCAATTATTTAGACAATTATTATTTTTTTATGATTTAAAAAAATAATGTCATAATGCAATGTGCCAATAATTATTTTAAAAAATACATCTTTAGAAATAAAACAATGACGATTGTAATAATTAAAAACAATACAAATAAAATTTGTTTATATTTTGAACACATACAAATTTATTGTTCGACTTAAATTAGCGAACGCAAATTAATATAGGGCATCAGCTCTAATAATTATGGTGACGATTTTCAATGTAAAATAGGCTAATAAAGGTTATCACACAATCAGCTTAGAAGCATTACCGTTTACGTTTAGTGTTTAGATGTTTGTTCTTCTAATGAAACCCTTATAAAAAAAAAAAAACATGTCTAATCGTTGAGGATTTAAATTAACATTTAGTTTTGTTTATGTTTTTATTTATTATTAAATGGGTCAATGCTTAAAACGTCGATGGATAGTTAATCTTAAAATGTGAAACTAAACGAAATTTAATTCGTGATTGAAATAAGGAATTATTGTTCAATTACGATTGTGACTGTATTATAATATGTCATATTTTTAAGTATATTTTTGTGACCAACTAAACAAGGATTCGTGGATAATTGAATCAAAACGGTTGGCAATAACGAAAGGTTTTAACGACTATATAATACAATACGATAAACTCGCTTTTGCTATCCAATGTCCAAGAACTTTATACTTAGGGGGTATACCTCTATTCATATGCTTTTCGTTTGCACTACATTTTATTCTCGTACATTAGTTTTCTCGAAATAATAACGTTTTGTTTCGTTTTTAATTACGAATTTAATCGCAACTCGTTGCTATCCTAATAAACGTTGATAATTTAAACATTCTATAAACATTTATTTAGATTACAAGCTTGCGTCTTCAAGCATTTAATATAAATTGCTACAGTTGGAACCATAACGGGATAGACATTATTTTTTATCTAGAATTTTTATTCCATATAAAACTATATAATGTTTTTAATACGCCTACATATGGCCCGACCATAGCCTATGGGGTAATGTTTAAACTCATAATAATATATATTATAACGCATACGACCTACCTGCCAATATATTTTACTTCAAGTTTTCTTTAGATAGGCGTAGGTACGTACCTATCTTGTTATTTACCGCCAAGGAATGGTAAGTACAAATTTTTCTCTCCAACTTCATACCAACAACTTCCTCATAGTGTTTATTCGTTTAATTTGTTTGGACCTACATCCGTAAAAAATATTTACTTGAAATTTGACCACATCATTGTTGGTAATCGATTTGATAACACACTTATAATATTAGTTGTGGAAATTTTCTATAGGCCGTTACTTTTTACGTGTACAATTTATTTACTTGAAATATAATTTTCATTTGAACTTTACTGTGTAAAATCATAACTGTTTTTTATTTAGGTATTTTATAATTACTTAAGTAAGAATATGTTTTGACATATTTATCACCTCATTAAAATGCAGAAATAAATAATCCGTGGAAATGTCAAGTCTATAATTTATACGAAGTAAAACAATAAAAATAGTTTCCCTCCTTGTTATAGGGAATCCGATCTCGGTCAACCGCAAGATTACTTCCCCTCGTTTTAAGTTAGTTTTTCAAAAATTCCAAGTTAGCTAATTGAATATTTATAAAATTTTATATTTAACATCAGTAATTATACCTACCGACTGTGACGAATTTTCAATCCACAGAGAGGTTCTGTGAAAAATGTAGAAACATTCGTTAGACATGGAAAAGAATAATTAGAATAAAAAAAAAAAACAAAAAGTAGAATTTAAAGACTTTTAGGTACATTACTATACGCAGTCGTAGTGCCGTTAAATGCTACCGAGTAGAAAATTAAGAAAGTCACTCAATTATTTAGAACTCCGTTCGACTTTGAAATGAGAATTATAATTTATAGGTACAAATAATTAATGTAAATAATTATTAATTGGGTAATTGTGTAAAATTCTGAAATTTATATCAGATAGTATAAAAACACGAGAAAATAGTTTGAACTTTTAAATGCATTCGAATTTTGAAAAATAACATCCTATTAGTTGTTACTAGTCAAATGCAGTATAGCCTGCAGTTTGGCATGAATTCCGAAAACGCAATACGCACGTCTATTGAAAATTTGTTAACAATTATATATTTTCGGAATCGTTTCATTTACCGGAAGTTAATTCAATGTGAAAAACGGCTCAATAAACGTTATGGTTTGATGTAGTAAATTACAATAATGCAATTTACGTTATTTGCTATTTTTTTTTGAACATAAGTATGTTTTTGGGCTGCGTATAGATATTTTATTTTTCAAACTCTTTGTTTATCGCCATATAAAAACGAATACAATTTAAAAATAACTTAATTCTCACTAGGTTTATAATATAATATAATATACAATTAATGGTTACTTATTAATACGTTTTCTTTGAAATTGAAGATATTGAGTAGCGTGCTACGTTTATGTCACACGATCACCACTTTATAATATAAAACGAAATTTTTTCCTATATGTGAGCTCGACGAACGTCATCGTCGTCGAATAAAATATTAGTACTTACTACTTAGTACCAAACGTAGTTATTATGGTATTGTAATCGTCGTAATATTATGTCTGCAGAACTGAGCGAAGCTGTCGACAAGGCGAAAGAGGAAGAAATCCAAATACCGTTCGGAGTTGGGGTGGCTGGCACGGTGGCGGAAACAAAGCAAGTCGTCAACATCAGGAACGCATATCAGGTAGGGTTGACAACACGATGCTGTTTGTGATGGAAAATTGAAAATTAAGTTTTTGGGAACCGTTTAGTGCACTATTTTCCGCCTGGGTACGGAAAATGCGTTCGGCGCACATCGTCTGAACAAATGATTAAAAAATATAATATAATATATCGCACCCGGCTGGGATTTCGATGCCCCCTAAAATGTATACAAAATGTAAAAACAATTTGGAAATCTCAAACGATACGTCATCATAAAAAAACCGTTTGAATATAATATTTTTAAATTCTAAGAATAAAAAAAAAATATCAGGAGCAATAATAATCGGAGTTTTATAATAATAAACAAAATTTCAAGAATTACCTTTAAAAAGTAATATACGATTCGATGTCAGTGGCGTCATTTGGGAGGGGGGGAAATTGCCCCTGACTGATTTTAAAAGCGGCCCGATCGGCTGGCTCCCCGTTGTTGCCGTTTTACCATCATTGTATTTTATTAGCGGAAAAACATGCCTATTTAATAATATTTTCAGAAAATATTATACCTAGTACTAAGAAATTATTGTCACAATGAATAACGATACATTTTTACTAATTGATAATTGGAATATTTTTATATTTAGACTTATATATGTTTGTTTGTGTGAGTATGTGTTTTTTTTAGGATAATTAACATATTAATATTGTTGTATGTACAACAATAATAGTAATTAGTATCATAATCTCGTATAGTTTAATTTCTAAAATCTAAAATTAATACAAATTCTAAAAACAACAACCGATTGGCACTCTTAATAATTATCATTGATCACGGACTTCGGTTAACTTGCGACAGTCGTGTATGATTCAACTATTCTGCGTATTGTGTCAATATTTTAGTTGAGTAGGTACCTTATTCTACCTAAATTCAAATTTATTTTTTTCGTGACGCATGTTTACATTATAAGTCTTTTAAATTAAAAATATAACTTAAAAAAATAAATGGGTGGTGAGGCTAAAAATATAAAATTACCGCAACATAACTTCTGGTATGTTTAACAGTGGCGTACGCAGAATTTTTCAATGGGGAGGGGGGGCTTGAAAGTTAGAAATTTTTATTTTGTCCAGTCCAATGATTTCAGACGTTTATTTGAGGTATTTTAAAATGTTCGTAACTTTTCAACTTTTCTGGTAAAAAAATTCTCTGATCATTAGCTTCGATGCCCGATGTATGTTTTTGGAAGCAAATTTGATCTAGTTGGTACTTTTAGGAGGTCGAAATTGAAAACGCTCAGTGCTTTTTAAAATAATTGGAGAAAAAAAATGAAAATGTATTAAAATTGTTTGGTAACCAGCTTATTGGTTATACCACCCTCACTTGGATTGTATTTGATTAATTAAATTTTTTTTTTTCCTATTAATGTCAATAAAAAATTATTTATCCGGTCAAAAAGTTTAAAATGTAATACGTAAGTTTTTATAATAGCTAAAATATTAACGATACATAGGCATCATGGTTATTTTTTATAAGCATTTTAATTTCAAATTTCGTCAAAACCACTGTTCATTTGTGGTTCAAAACTTATAAAATATAAAATGTGTGTAGCTAAGGCTAGAAAAAAATATATATTATAATTTAAGATAATATTAATTTGTAAATATATCGTATACCTAGGTATATAACTATATAAGAGTAATAGAGTATGGGCTATAAGTGATGAATCAGGTAAAATTGATTTATAGACAATGCAGTTGATATGTTTTCAAAAATAAAAAAAAGAAGATATCCTAATAAACTAATAATATTTTTGTTTATCAATATTATTGGCTATTGCCATATAATAGTTTGTAGACTTTTAACTGATATAGGTATACAATTGTTTTTCTAAAATATCTGCTACCTTATATTTAAAAATGATGTTACCTAGTTAATAATAAGGCTACCATATTCAAATGTAAGTACATAATACGTGGTGGCGAGAGGAAGCGAGTGGTATTTTTTTTAACCATTCGGGCCGTTAAAACCTTTGAACCCCTCTATTGAAAACTGAAATGACGCCACTGTTCGATGTGTTTCTAATTTCTATTATACCAGCAATTCTTTCTAATCTTAATTCGTATAGTCAGCAATCCCATTTGTTTCTTATGATTATTTTTTTTTATATATCTACCTACTTATTTCATTATTTTGGAAGTTAAAACATAATGAAAAACACAAAAATAAAAAAAATACACTGTAAAGTTGTATCAAAATAACCCAGTATATGAACAGTGCACTACATGTGAAGCACATTTTCCACTTTCGGAGCTACATTATTAATCACACACACACACACACACACACACACACACACAAAATGAAAATGCGTCAAAATCCCAGCTCTATTTATTATCGTACGCCATTACACCTCCCGCGTCGGTGCGTTTTACGAGAGTACAAAGAGTTTTTATAAAAACAGAAAAAAATTAACAAGAGATACAACAGGAATAGGCACCTATAATATATTATTATAGTATATATTTTATTAAGAGCAGGTGACGAACAAAAAACTATAATGAGCCATTAAATTGCGTTATTACATAATGTACCGGCCCGCGGGGATTGCCGTTTGAACGGTTGATCACATCACAATAAATTCGTGTCGGTGTCCGTCAGGTACTTTATATATTAATTATTATCCGTCATTATCAATGGCCAACGAGTATTTCGAATCGGATCATAAATTACTGTAAAACGTACGATTTTCGTTAATCGCCACTTGTACAGATATCGCGGTCGTCCGTCGTTTAGGTACCCGCACGGATGTGCGTGCAGTTTTTTTTTGTGAAAGTATAAAGCGCAAATTGGCCCGGCTTCAAAAATGCACTGAATGAACAACGCAAAAAAACAAAAAGATTACAAAACGTTTTATATATATATATATATGTAGTAAGGTAGCTGCTTGACCAAATTATACGTTTCCAAAAGTTTAAAAGTTATGCGATAAACGATACAAGTTTTATTTATTCGTATTTTATCTTTTCGGTCGGTATCAAATTACCATTATTTTCAATCACTGCTATTTTTTATGTTTTTTTTTTACATTTTTATTGGTTTCATAAATTAACTTTTAATATTTCTTCACGTTCCATTCGTAACAATAAATATTATCATACTATTTAAAAATATGAGGTTTTTTCGTTGAAAAACGCATTTAGGTACATCTTAATAATTTATAAAATTTGGTTCCGATCATTATTTTTATTTTTTTTTTTGGATATGGGTACTGGGAGTTAAAATATTTACAATACACATTTTTACTACCATAAACATGTTCTAAAACAGTTTACACAATCCTAAAGTTGAACTTTCTAAAATAAAAATATATACATAATTTTTTTTTTTTATTATTATAAAAGTTGGTTTATTTACAATCTGTAATTATAGTAATACAATAAACAAATTAGATAAAATGAAACTGAAAAATAAATAGAAGGGGAAGGGGAGGGGAGGGGAAGACACCCATTGGCGGCACCCCGTTAAAGAAATATATTATATATAATATTTTGAGGGTATAATAAAATATGTTACATTAAATTATAATGTACTGTCGTGATTTATATAAAATCGAGAAAATATAACCATAAAAGAAGTAACTCATATAATTTATTATACGTCTGTCAATTAAGTTCTAAGTAAGTTTAATGTAAAACTATGTGAAATGTTTAGCAACGATTTCATGTTTTTGTGAATGCTTACGTTCGATTCTTAAAATATCATTCTTAAGGTCTGGAGCGACAAAAGCACTACATCAAAATAATTTGTTATATTTTCCACGCTTAAGCTCAAAGATTCGAAAAACACTAGTTATAATTTCGATTATTTTAGTTTTGTATTTATTCTCACATTCATCTTCAAGGACGACAAGTATAATGATTTAGAGGGATAGAGAATAAAGTGGAGAAACTTTTCAAGTACTCGGGAAAAAACTTTTTAACATAATTTTAAGGGAAACTGTACGAGGAAAGTTTTTTTTTATAATGACATAAAGTTATCGAGTCCATAAATTTTTAAAGCGTATTATATTTCAATAATGTTTTGGTCAAACTTTTTGTACAAAAACAAAATGAATTAAAGTAATTTTTCAATCTAAGAAATGTGTTTGCAGTTTACACCTTTGTATACATTTATCGGGTTATTCAAAGTCGGTATTAATATTTCATTTCAAAAACTTTAGTAACACCTCTCATTATATTATTTATTTATAAGCTTGATTTGATTTTAAGCTGATATTTAAATATTCAAGACTAATAATTTATAATGAATGAAAACTGAGAATCAATTAAATTATTTAAATTATGATAATACTGAACAGTGAACATGTACCAATAAGTTTTTTTTTTATAGTTGGTAAATCAAGATTATTATTTTAATATTTTCAAACTATAGTTAGTTGTAGGGCACAAACATATTATGATAAAATTAGTAAAAAACTACAATCACAAGTTGTTTAATTAGAAGAAAAGTGTAACTCTTAATTTGCATGTATATCAGTGTGCAGTACATAACTAATTATCAGTGTATATTTATTATAGCATATTTTATATCTGATGAATCAGTTATTTCATCATTTATCATTACTATAATGATGACAGATTACAGTAATACAATTTCAATAATTTTGACAGTAATATTACACTTAAAAATCAACATGCTAACAGAAATTTCAGAGAATGAATAATGCTTTTTTTTAATTTTTAAATCGAATAAACATGCATGGACCATAGGCGCAACTAGAGGCCAAACACTGGGGGTGCTAAAATTATGTAGAGAACACAAACCCGCGGGGGCTACGCCCCCACACCCCAAAGTAACATACTTTAATTTTATAATTACTATAACCATTCCTAAATGCACCATGAACATTGAACACATAAGGACACTAATATTTAAGTAAATTTGCAACAGTAATATACCTGATGAATACATGAGGTATGTTATATTATTTAGGTGATAAAAATAGTAACCTGGAAGTATAAATAATAGATAAAAAAAAAAAATTT